ATCTGGTATCTAGCATTAACAAGGATGAAGCAGCTAAACACCAACCCTCTGTATCTGTAGCTCAAATGTCCTTTGTCGTGACAAAGCTCCCCTGGACATCCGTTACATATGCAGAGATCGCGGTAAAGGTAAGCGGGGACGCCGCCGTTGCCTCCTGTTGTACGGACCGTTAACGCGAATAGAGGGACAAAGAGTAAACAATCATCACTTGTCAGTAGGTCAAGATAAACGGGTACCGTATCTTGTAGATCAAGGAAAATGGGATGCAGCAGTAGTGCCCGGACTGTTGTATGCTCAGATGTCTCCAAATCTACCGCCATCACATTGCGGGATAAGTTATCGGACGACCAAGACCAATGGAACGCATTGTGCGTGCTGATGAGTGTAAAAGCCAAACCCATAAACCTAGTAGAATTATTGGTCTTCCGAACTCGCCACACTATAGAGAACCCAGACATATTCGAGTAACACTAAAATCCTCCGCAGAGTAGAAAATGCTTTGCTCTCCGCAAGCGCGTTAAAACACGGATTCTGTGGGACAAGTATCTATCCTGATATCTCTTGGAGCGCGCGACAATGAAAAAGAAACGCCGTAGAAGGACACAGTGAGCAAGACCGCCTAAACACAACCTTCACACCTGGCTTGCCAGAACATCCTTCTAACGGTTTTCAAGAGACCGGAAAGCACGATTTAGTGCAGTGGTGATTCATTCGTGTGACACTTTCTTTAGGTAATATTGGAGCGTTATCGCTCACCAGGATACCTCTCACTAAATTAAAGAGGATGCAGCCCTAGTATCCTGCAATTTGTAGTTCAGTCAAAGTAAAAAGCAACGGATATTTTGGATCGATGGCAAAGAAATCGGAAACGTCTTCCGTCTGAACTTTGATTAAAAGTCACAGAAGCCTGACAAGGTTCAAATATCAAAACACCTAAAGCAGCAAAGGTACCTATGATGATACAGGAGCTTACCTTGACTGCTCTTTCACTCCAGTCTGACGTAAGTCTAAACGAAGAGTAGGACGCATCTTAGCCGAACTACGTTTCAGACGAGGTATCATTATCCCGTCGAAAACAACGAGTAACTGTCGACCTCCCATCGGTCGGCATTCTCCCACACTTGACCCCTTTAGCCCCCAGTGGGCTTCTAGATACCGAGAAACCGGCTTGCATGTATACGAATGCTCAGGGCCTTTTTAATAAACTGGCCGAACTGAAAGATCGCCAAGCTTTCGGGTCATATAATGTCATTGGTATCACCAAGAGGTGGTTGCACACTGGAATGACTGATGCTGAAGTTTTGCTGCGGGGCATGTCGCTGATCCGGAACGATAGGCTTACAAAACGAGGAGGAGCAATACTGTATTGCCGAGACAACTTATAGTGCGAAACCATGGAGGATCCAGACTCGCAGTTCCCCGACTCCTTTTGGTGCCGTTTGCCGTTAAAATGCAGAGACACTTGCCTTATTTTTTTGGTGTAGTGCTCCCTAACTCTAGCCCCGAAACCGACTGCCACCTTACAGCTGCTTTAAGATGCAGTTTACAGCGAAAGTACAAATATACTTCTCATGGGTGCTTTCAACGTATATTGTTTAGAAAGTCCTGACACGATAGGAGAACACTTCAAAGCCGATCTACAAGATCTCGTAATTACTCTTCCTCTTTACAATCACTTTGCCCACTCGGTTCAGAACAGGTGACAGGCCATCTGTACTGGATCTTTTGCTTACCAACGAGGAGCATATGATTGATGTGTTGATTTTAGACTTCCTGTTGGGTCGCAGTTATCCCGCACTTATCAGTTTCAACTTCCTCTGCTATGCGGAATATCGGAATGAGAAGGAGGAGACTGTGCGAACCATCACAAGCTACGATTGATTAGCCCAGCTCGTCAAAGCTACAACTTGGTCGTTCCTTGCCGAAGAAACCTCGGATGTCGCCTGGCTTGAGTTCGTCAACAGAAATAAGCAGTTGCTTAGAGAGATGAGTGTCGGTAATCAGTGCACCTCAGTTACTTTCGTTACGAGCAGAACACGAAATTGTACAGATTAGCTCCAGCACCAGAAACTTGGGACGACTGTGTAGTACAACCTAACCACTGCACTCGAGTGCTACGAGAAAACAAAGCCGCAGATCAGCACAACGTCGCATAAACCATCTATGCTAATCACAAACTGCTGTACAAGCATGTCAATAACCTACGGAAGGTGAGCCAAGGATTTCCTTCATTCAGAATGGTGGTCAGCCCAACAAGAACAGCTTTGGAAGCATCAAACAAGCTGCGAATGCAAAATGCCCACACTTTTCAAAGGGTCTTTCCACCGAGTAATTTTCCAAACTTCGGTGTCTCTCCGTCAGGATTAACCCATATCATGTTTACTACGGAGGATGTATTGCAAATGCTGACTTCTCTACGCAAACGCAGCTCGCCGGGTGTGGACACCACTCGTCCAAGGGCACTGGAAGCAGCAGCAAGCCAAGTAGCTGGACCTTTAGCTTAGAATTTCCAGCACTGCTTAGACCAGCATAAAGTTCCGTAATGTAGAAGCTCGGAATAATTACCCCTATTCATAAAGGTTGAATCAGCGCTTAGCCCAACAACTACCACCCAGGAACCTTTTCCTATACTCTCCAAGGTCATGGAATCCATAGTTGCTGATGCATTGGCTTGCTATCTGGAAAATAACATCTTCACGCCTTAGCAGCACGGCTTCCGTCGATAGCATTCATGCACAATGAATTTACTAATTGCACGGGGCAGTCGGACCGAGTCGGCTGACGCTGGGGAAGGGGTTGATGTGATCTACCTGGATTTTTCTAAGACTTTCGATCGTCTAGACCATCGGATACTTCTATACAAGCTGCAGCAATACGGGATCGGCGACCCACTTTTAAGCTGGATTGCCAACATTCTACTTCAACGGCAATTAGTTGTCAAAGTTCCGAGCTCTTTGTGGGACCCCATACAACTCGAGTTTGGTGTGCCGCAAGGCTCAATTCTAGGTCCACGTTTGTTTTTGGTGTTTATGAATGACCTTTCTCAAGGAATCGCTTCAAACTTCCTAATGTTTGCTGACGATATCAAGATCTGGCGCAGGATCCAGGCGGACGCCGACCAATATATGTTTCAGCGTGACCTAGATACCGTGTATCAATGGGTGACCCAACACTTACTGCATTTCAACGTCAGTAAATGCAAGGTGCTTTCCGTCCGACATCAGAGTAGCTACTCATCAGGGTCGGAAGGAATATACTACAGCAAACAACTCTCGAACATGACTTGGGTGTCCTGGTTCAAGATGACTTAGGTTGCACCAGGAAATCTGAAACCGTTTCGAAGACTAAAAACCAACACTTCAGGCTGTTGCGACGGACGTTTGAACAAATAAATAGCCCCATATTTTGAATATACAATCCAAGCCTGGCGTACATGGCTGAAACACGACCTTAACGCACTGGAGCAGCCGCAACGTCGGGCATCTAAGTACGTAATTGGAATGCGCAATCTTTCATGCCAGGGGAGGCTGCAACGATTATGGGTATTCAAAGGAAGCTACAGCAGACTACGAGGAGACTTGATTATGGAATACTTGATTCTGCAGGATCTACATCATGTGTGCGGCTCCTTACTGCAGCTCAGCATTAATACAGCCATGAACGGCCACTCATTAAAACTCGCTATGCAGTATAGCCGTCTAGATTACCGTAGAAATTCATTTTCCATGCCTGGCTGTCACCCGTGGAATGCTCTTCAGAATCGGTTGTCATTGCACCGACACTAATAGTACTTATAAAACGGCTGGATGAAGCAATCATCCACTTAAACCTTGTCATTTATCACTAAGTCTCCATCTTACACCTGGAGTTTACCATGGAATTATTTGATGTTAACTGTGGGTGCTGTGAATCTAAGCTGATTGCAGGACTATAGCGGAGCATACGATAAGTTCTCATATTCATATTTAATAAACTAACTGTTTTACCTTTCTTATTCTTATTCTTTCGTTATCCCTACCAACTACCCAACTGGACTTGTGAAGCAACGCTTCTTAATCCGTATGAATTCATTGTTCATTGAGATGCGCCGTACCAAGACCGGTGCAAGAGACTTCGACTTTGCACTGTGTTATCAGCGAGTGTGTGTGCATCATATCAAACATCACAGATTACATCTTGGCGATTACTACTTGCTGAGGCTGCTGCACTATATGCACACACCAAGCAACGCATGACGATACCGGTACAAGCTTTTAGTATCGGAGTTGCAGCGGGTCGTCCACCGACTCTGCTCCTAACAGCGGGTGAAGTATCTGTGAACCAACTTGCCACCGCAGGTAGTCTAGGTAAGGTCTATGTGTATTTAAGTAATTCCTAGGCGACATGAAATATCACGAATACTCACCAATACAACAGGTAATTGTGCCTGAGAGATTTTATACGCAGCTACAGAGTAACATCACTTCTGGTACTTCCATCCAATAAACAGTATATTAAAACAGCCGCACCACAGACTTCAACTATGGGAAGGTATAAACTGGTCTTATTAGGTGATTCTCAACAATTTATGAATTAACAAGGATTTGGTTTTCACAGTAGTGCCCGATTCCTCATGTTCGATGAGGTGGGTGTATAAGTCACCTTGTTTCTATGAATGAGACTAGATCTCACCGAAATTTCGAGGGAGAAATGAGAAGTCTTATTCATTATATCTGTGAATACTCGTTATAACATATAAAACCGATGTCATAAAATAGAAATATGAAATCTCCGTGTGCTTTTATTGAGTTACTGCTGGTTAATCTAAAATGGGCTGTCACAGCTGCAGTCGATATCGCGTACATACTGTATAGACTAACTGGTTTAGATCGAAATATTAAGGATGAAAAACAAACATTTTCGTGAAAAACATGTTGTTTGACTATTGTTCTAATGAAATCTACTTTTGCCGTGTGCCGCAGAGTTTGTACTATGCGACTCCACAATTTTCTATTCAACAGGATGTGGCTCACCACATGGAAGAGTCATATGGACTTCTTGGTAGCTTATTTCGAAATGGTGAGTCAAATATCCATAGTGCTCATACATCCTGCATCCGATGCTACTAAAAAGATACTAAAACCTCTCCAAGCATTATTATGGAGCAGAGGTTCCTTATTCTTCTTAGTCTTGCAGAGCGCTTTGTTCACTGCGCTTCACGCTCACATAATTACTGCTGTACACACTAACATTTCACCATCTAATTTCACGAAGGGAATTGGAGTCATGAGCAGAATGATTTGCGTGGTCTAGCTTCTACAGCCCTTAAGTTCAGTGCATTAATTCATGCACAGTATAAAAAGTTAGTATAGACTCCACAAGTAACGAATTACTAAAAGAAGTATTGTATAGAACCTTGAGGTCTTATTGGGCTAGAAATTGAGATCTTTAAACACTTAAACGACATAGCTTTTATATTATTATTCGATTTGGTTATCATTATTATTACTATTAATAGGACTATTATGATTACTATTACTATTATTAGTACTATTATTATTACTAAGCTCACCAGACTAACAGATATGCTGAGTACTTTGCATCGCAACCCTCTACAATAACCTCGCTATAGTCTGCCCCCGAAAAAGCCAAAAGCGAGAGCAGGCATATCAATAAACCCCAGCTAATTCTACGTTGAAGAAGCACACACGGGTCAACCACCTCTGCAAATGTGGGCCTCGAAAGCTCATATCTAGGAGTAATCGCATCAGTAACTTTGTTCCATGTTCTATCGCAGTCTCCTATAGGGAAGCCAAACACAAATGAAGCCAAAACTCCTGACAGTGGTTTCATTACTCCGAACTGATTCGGCTTACAAACGTTACGGAATGGTAAAGATGGAAAACTACTGTTCCTTAAGAGCTGAATGAACATAAAAGAACTGATAAAAATGCGAGTCTCACCGCGTAGTGTGTAAGCTGAGACCGTATACACAGGGCTACTATTCGAACACTCTATGTAACAACTCAAAGATTGACGCTTGGAAGGAATACGCAGCTGCGATTAACACAGCGGTGTCAAAACCCGTGCCATTAATTCCTAAGTTTTAGCACAGAGCAACGCACCGTCCCAAGTAGATGCGAACTGAAAAGAATTTCTTAGCAGTCTTCAGCATACTAGCTTGTTTATCACCTTCCGGCCTTTCACAACACTAGACAAAGAGATTGTGAGCAAAATAGCATTACAAAGCTGACAGTAACACATACCACACGCCACCACAGCCACTCACAATCCTTGAATTTTATACGACTCTTCTTATTGGAGACATAATGGTCCGAAACCATACCCACCTCAGACAGACCCAGCAGAGTTAGCTTATCTATTTCCATTGTTCCTACAATTTAACCACATAGAACGGCTGGTTCCGCATACGGTAAATCCAAACCTGGCCTTGAAATCTCAACCCTCTCTTTTCACTCAGAGTTGTCCGCAGACAAAATCGATAGAGTATACTTGCACCTTGACATACCGTTGAGGAACTTAGGTGTATCGGTTCCTTAGTTAAATTTGTTGACGATTATTTTTGATTCCCACAGCTCAGAGATATCTGCTTAGACACAACATGAGTAAACTTAACTTACGAGCAAACTCCGTGAAGTAAAATATGCACCTTCTAAGTATGTTTGAACAGTTAAGCTCAATATATGTGATCTTCATCACAGAAGCGTGGTGCAGCACTGGCCCGTTGCAACATCCTCCTTATGTTCCCAACTGTCATCTTTTTGAAAAACACTGCAGCACAAAGCGGGTTTTGGGGTGCGCCTTCATCAAATACTTACAGCGGAGTTCTCCTGACCCTAAGCCACAACTAAACGACATCCCTGAATATTTCTGGAGAGCCACATCGTCCTCTCATGTTGTTCCCTGCAAAGCCTACAATCCCGTAATCAACCGTCGCCGGTATCACCTTTCAGTATACGTCTATGTTATCCCACATATTAACGACTGACTGGTAACCTTAAGTTAACAAACATCCCTTCGTCACTACAACCACCTTCATATTTGCATACAGCTGGACAGAGGTGGTCATCAGACCCCCTAGTCGGTCAATATGCACAATGAAGATCGAAAATGAACAAATTTATATTTTAGAAAACCTCCGTTGTACTAGCCACACCTGCATGAAAAAAGGATAAAATATCGACTCATTTATCCCATATGCTATCCATAGGGTGGGCTGGAAGCTCACACAAGAACTAACCTGGTCTTTGGACTGGGAGCCATGTTTCTCTTCACTAGTCTCCATATGACATTGTAGCAGTCCAATTACTAAACTTACCATATAATATCCCCACTTGTCTCAAAATATAAACGTGATGTTTCCAGTCCAAAGAATGCAAGGGTCATCTCCCTTAAACGGAAAACAAGGAAAAAGAATACGAAATTTACAAGGTCTAAAGGTCTCACATTGAAAGTACCATTGTAGGATCTCACACTTGTATTAACTGTTCACAAGTGACTTGGATAAGAGGAGGAGGAGGGTAAAAGCACCTTACGTGTGTCATGCGAATGAGAGCATTATTGAAATCACTACGCCTTAGGATAGGTGAGGCCTCTTCGATCAAGGGACTGTTCGATGTGGAGTGCCATACATTAAAGGATCAATCGCCATGTATGAAACGTCTACTTCCTGCTTCGCTGTTTCTTAGCCTGCAGAATGACCTCATATCTTCCTGCTTGACACTTACGACAACAAAAGTCCTACATAATCCCGAGTTTTGGCTTCCGGGCATATAAAATGCCATGAAGTCAATCAAAGTTTCTTTCAAGATGGATTTGGTTGGCACAATCCAAACCTCCACTGACTTAGAAAGGTTTTTCGTTTAATATGCTCCTTTTGTTTCTCAAAAATATCATTGTTTGTAGAAGCGAAGACAACACCTACTATTTATCTCCATAAAAATGAAATACGACTAATAGTTGGTATGTTACTCCAAAAACTATTTAATGGCAGTATGATGGGCTTATCCTATCATCTTGGATTGCGAAACGATTCTTAACATTGATACTTGACAGATGTTCTTCTACAACATAATCTGTTAACTCCAGTTATACAGTAGTGGTTTTGTTCCTAGAAATGAAAAATATATGCTACTGGTGGCTATCAAAATATCGGGTCTTTGGGATCAGAGATCCGCTTGTGAGTTAACTGAACTCTCATTTGAGTTGGCATTCCCAGATAGTCACACTGAATGACTAGTACCCTTTCCCACATCTACTCACTGGGGCTATCATCCAAGGTAGTATACTTGCTCCTTCGTTCTTCTTGCTCTATATTGACGATTTCAGCATGTATGTGGAACATCGCAGGATATTTTGCATGGAAACGACAGTAGGCTTGTTTATAAATTTCTACAAGGCAAATTCCAGAAGATAACGTTGCAAGTTCAAGACGGCACAGATACATCCGAGAATTGGTTTGAAACATGGCTGTGAAGCTGTATGCCAAAATTTGAAGCCTCATGTCCTAAGGATGTTCTCTCCTTGAAGAGTCAGTTAGATTCAATAAGGTACGCATCTATACAAAACCTGTTATGTAGGAATGCGACTACTTTTACAACCAACTTTTCAGCTTAGACATGGTATCACGTAGGATGAACCAAACGGTTTATGGCCATTTACCATAAAACATTTGAAAACTGCCGCGAAAACTAAACTTTTCACAAACCTTATCTTTGCCATCCCTGAGTACTGCAGCATCATTTATGGAAACATGCGCATGGATGACAAAAATCTCTGAAGAGTAGGTTTGTTTAACAACGAATATAAGTTGAGCATCCAGTGGTGCTGTCTGCGGTTTCATCTCGAGCCTCTGTAGTTGCGACGACTGGAACATAATTTAATGCATGTGCACAATCTGCTCAATCAGGATACTTACTTTTGTCTGCCCACATTAGGGTTACCACATAATTTTACTGAATGCAAGTAGAACTAGGAAGCCGTTGGATCCAATTACTTCTACGTCATCTACTTGTCATGCGCCATAGCCTGCCAGTGGGTAGCAGGCCATGTGCAAATAGACAAACATTCTGCATCAGAATATCTTTGCTTGAACTATGTATCTGCTCTGTTCTATCAGAAAACTCGTCCAACCTCAAAACAGTGCGAAAAAATGGTATATAAAGCCAATAATCAAAAATCACTGTATTTTGGAATGCCCTAGCAGAATTGACACTAAATACCTCCCATCTATGCGACAGTATGCGCCTAACTGTAGCTGATTAACAGTTCGTAGTACGGGAAAGATCGTTCGCATCCCGGAAAATATGCATATCGTTATACATAAGTGCAGTTTTGTCTGCAACATTTAAGGAATTTAGTAAACTAAAGGTTCACTGAACTACACCTTGGCAATTTATTCAAATGAATATTTTCCAAATTGTTTAAATGGCATCGTGTTGAAATTATCATTGCTGCCTAGGTGTTGTTAGTTAACAGCATCAATAACCACTAACTAGTTTTAGGAATTTATATTAGCTCAAATTTATTATTACGCTAGCTGTTAGGTTATAAATTGTGTCGGAGGAGAATTGAAACCTTTAAGATTTTATTCCATGTAACCAATTCTCGGGGAAAGCGTAAAATGTTTCATGCAGTTTTAACAAGTTATACTACGAATTACCACAGTGTTCCGGTGCTTTGTTCCAGCCGCTATATCTCAAAGCGTTGTTTATTTCTGCTTCCATTCAACAGGATCGCGTCATACCTTTTTCTCTTCTCAAGTCCTACGGTACGCTGATGTTTATTCAATTTCTTGCCTCAATCTCATCTACTATCCACTCTGCTACATGTTCAGAGCGCCATCAATGCTGATGCCTCACGAGTCTACCGTCTCACATGATGAGTCTCCTTTGGACAGCTTCTACTATTTGGATAAGTCTCCATGTGGGCTTCAAAGGCGATCACAGCAGTGTAAGCCATCATGAGCAGTGACTGGATTTTGGGAACCCCACCTGTGATTACTGATTTGTTCCATTCGCACGCTTCTCAGACCTATTGCAGCATTTGTTTACAGTAGATGAGAGACGGATTCTGAAACAGATCTGTCAGTCACGATAGATCGAGTGTGGCCATTCAACACACTGTCTGTGATATGCTGGCTGCAAACGATGTCTACTGTTTTGACCATGATTTGATTAGCCGCGTAGCATCTAAACCAGGTTAAGATGTACTAGGTTTTAGTGGGAAATAATACAGAAAACTTAAGAAACATATTTGCATTTGGCAACCTGGCTGTATGTCTGAAAATTGCCCTTAAATGGTCAAATGGGATGTTTAGATTTACGCTGCACAAGAATGCAAGTGCCACTAGATCATAGGGATAGATCAAGGATTGCTGCTGAATTTAGGCTATGGGTAATATCAGCTACTTCGCTGGATCCCATAAGCAATAATTCCGCGGTTGTTATTGGAGGAGATGGTTAGCACTGCTCCAAGGGAAAGCTGATAAATTCAACCCCATTACGCTGGGAAAAGTCTGGACTGCAGTCTCGCCTATAAATTGTGCCAGCTTATTTGTCTGATATTGTGGGATCTCCATAATTAAACTCATGCTTGAGATGAACCCATTGTGCTTTGCTAAATGATTTACATGGATACACTATTGTTATCATATATAACCGATTACGGGCGCATTCATGTTGCATAGTGAACTGCCATACAATACCTGCAACAATAACATCATTAGGATTATCTCTCAGTTTTCAGCACGGTAGCACGATTATGGCGGATGATGAGCTAACCTCTAAGCTTCGTTGGCCCATGGATTTTTGTCAGATATCCCTAATTTTCCATGCTGTCAGCTTGCGTCAGATACTAAACAAAACACTGTGCTTTAGGATCTCTAAGCGTGGAGAGCAGTGCAGCGCATTGAGCTTGTCTTTGTAGTATCCTTTCTTCTCTAATGCAACTCACTACATTTCCAATACGCTTTACAGTCAGCAAGCCACTACTTCCAAGGAACACGGAGTATATCTTAGAAGCCGTTGGGTCAGCCGATCTTCAGCTTGACAACTTTGAGTCCAACAAGGTGGGCCACAGTGATGGACAGAAAAATTAAGCAATTAGCAACATAACCTGCGCCTGAATGCCTACCCCATAAGTGATTGCAAATCAAGGTACGTATAAGTGTGTTGGCCATTTCTTACTTTTATTGCTAGGGAAAAGGTCGATGTAGTTAATTTCAAACCTTCTCTGCACCACCATCCGTGTAACTTATACCCTGCTTAGCATGGCTTTTGCAAATTATCCATCAAATATGTCGATGGAACATGAGCTGAATGAGCTCTACGGAAACGTGGTGGAGCATGAATTTGGATCGACTGAAAACCATGTTTATTTAGGCTGGATACCTGATTGCGCTCCTTTCTGTTGGGTACTTAACGACGTCCTTCATAATGCTGGTCTACCCATTCTTTTTTGCGCTGTTTTACGAATACCATTAAGGAGCAAGTATTGCTGGACCTGAGAGTTCGCGACAGAAGTGGCTCTGAGAATAGCCGCATTCCAGAAGTAAACATTGGTCGGCTCATTTCACATTGAAACTGCGGTTGTAATGTTTCACCAGAGTAACCATGAATACAGTTCAGCATCTGACTGCTCAGTAATGCATTGCAGCCGTGCCAATTAGAAGCCATTTCGCGAGCGTGGGTAACAGCGGAAATAACTTTTAAATGCTAAATTGTGACCCATTAGGATTTAATTTATTCAACTAATCCGTATTTGAACAAATTTCTCCAGTGACACGGTCGCTGCTTATCATTTATCATGTCTGTATTCTATCTTTCAAAATCCGTTTTCAAGGAGCCCTAACTTGTCACACCAGCAAATCCAAGCGAAGCAGATGTCCATGTTTTAAATTCATCCAGTTTGCTTACCTTAGAATTCCTCAGAGTAAGCATAAACAGCTGTTATGCTTCATTATATTCGTGTGCATTTTTTACATACAAAAATTTTATATCTTTCTTCCATTTTTCTTCATGGTACTTTACCCTCCACATACAACTCGACGCACGCTAACGACAATGTCTTGGCTCAATCAGTAATGTCAAAGGAATCGCCTGCATTATCCATCACCGTCATGATTTCCATTCAGTCCTTACCATTATCTGCGACCATTGTCAGAAGGAAAATACTTCGTGACATCCCACACACCTAAGCTGCTGGCTCACTTAACCGCTTCCCTTTCTCACATTATTTTGATATGCAACTCTTTGAGCAAATCCTCTTTAATGTCGATGAACAAAATTTTGATTAGTAATGTTACGAGGTAACTTTCATTCCGTGCCCTGTTGTGAACTATCACCGCGCATCCACACCGGTTTTCTTCAAATGCCTCTTCTGATTTTTCATCACTCCATATAGCCCACGTGCATACCTGTCTTACTGCTAATGGACCTCAAACATTCCGCGAGGGTTATATCTGCGAACAATTGCATACGCAGGCTATGATTTAATAGACTAAATTTGTACCGATTTTCTAAAAGCCCATTATTTATTGAAATTCCGTTTTATCATTTGAAAATCAAATTTTGGAAAGCTGAGAGCTTGTTTGCTTAAAAGATCCATAACGGCAACCATGTTGCTCGAAAGTTCGTGAATCAATATAACATTAGGAAAATAAGGTTTAACTGACTTTCAACTGGGTTATTAACAATGATTTATATACAGCATCCAGTTTTGTGGTTCTTTTGTTAAATGCTAAAACTAAGCTTTCAAGAACAGCTCAGAATGAAGTGCGTTTCTTTCCGGAATATCCTAGGCTTGAAACCAGTGGATTCATACATTTGATTTCAACCGGCGTTCCGTTGAATTAAACATCACAATTGGCACTTAGCTCTTTTAATTTTCAATGCAACCATGTCTACAAGCATTGGGCTTTCTCTCCGAGAATATGTAATAGGAGAAAGAGTATGACTATCGGCACTGCGGACGCACGCATGTCTCCACTTGTACCTCAGCCTCCATCGAGTTGGCTTAATCTCTTGGAGGAGAGAATGCAGTGGCATCAAAGACAGAAATAATCGGTAATACACCTTTGTGAGACTCAAGGAGGTGACTAGATTCGAAGACACCTACTCATTTCTTGATTCCGAGTAAAATTACGAAGAAACAAAATAACGACTTGTAACTCCGTTGCATCAAGCATTTTCTCATAAACTTGCTGTTCACTAGTTGCTACAAAGCTGCATTGTGTAAAGTTAACCACGGAGAAACTGGAACTCAACTCTCACGAATAAGTTCCCTCTTCCACCAGAGACCTCGTGATGCACCACCATGTCTAAATAAACAACTTTATATTTTTGGATATCCAATTGTGTTGAATGTCGGCAAATAATGGGGTGTACCCAAAGCAGTGTAAATGGTTGGCTGTTATAGTTAGAGAAAATGTGGCCTTAGGTAAAATGCCACGAGATCCAGGCGGATAATTCACATACTCATCGCTTCAAGAATGGTAGAAAGGATAGCTAAAAACGAAATGCCTGGTATTCTCATTTTGGAAAATCTACGGAAATTGCAACCTGGTTTTTCATGTACGAATGTATATGACATTAGAGCTGGATTTTATTAAACTCATAACAATGGGTACTGATAATGAATGGTTGTGGGTGCATATGCCAATATGCCGAAAACTACAGACCGAGCTCCAAGTATTAGGTTACTAACTGGTATGCAACCGGTTATTATCGGAAAATCTCTGTTCATTTGGTATCTATTATATCTCTATGCTATGAGGCAATGGGCTTTAAAATGTAAGTGCCTCACACACCAAATCAATTACCGAAGACGATATCTAAAACATCACATGCTTAGGATCTATAGGCAAATGCACCAAAATGTCATCGTTTACCACGTAAAGCTTGACTTGGCTTTCCAGTTTGCGATTAAAATAGAAGTCATTAATTCCAACACAGAGAGAGATACACTGGATTTCTCACTATGCATTCAGTCTGATCTTTCGTCTTCTTACTCCTGCTGACACATGTTGCAGATGCTATCTACTGCAGAATTATGCAATGCCTTATCTTGTAACTACGAAAACCTACGGAACGAAGCACAATAAGAGAGAGAGAAGCGAAACCTAAGGTAAAACCTTAATGCCCTTAACAAACACGGGGTTAAGGCGCCTATATATATGTATGTATATGAGTATATGTATATATATGTGTATACTGCACAATCTTTGTAAAATATTGCGCCATCGGGACCATGGTGAAATAGAAAAACAGGATTGGAGTAAATGAAGAAAGAACAATGAACCTTTTTGGTTTATATTCCCACGCACATTTTTGAGCTTTTTTGATGTTTTTATTGGGGGAGGCAAGGGAAATCGCCACAACAAACAGTGATACACGCCTGCCAATGAGTTCGGTTTTCAGCCATGACTTTCAAGGTTTCTAAGCATCGGCACTCAGCATCTTTTGGACCCTATCCAGGGAGTCGAGAAGAACCGACGGAGGCCAGCTGTGTTGTCAGCTTTTTCATCCTGCTTCTTAAAGTTGCAGGCTGTCCACCACACCGCATTCTCCAGCCCTGTCCAGGGACCGGAAACAGGGTACGACGCAAAAGACGCTGAACGGGCATACGCAGTACGTGTTCGAGCCATCGTAGTTGGTGCAGCGTGACAAGCGCATTGAGAGACTGGATGCCTCCACCCAGGATACGCTGTCTAAGTTCGGCGTTCGTTACGTGGTTCAGCCACCACACACGGGCGGTGGACCGCAAGCAACGGTACTCGAAGTCAGGCAGTCGGCTCAGGTCATCCGTACGAGCGGGCCAAGTCTCGCAACCGTACAAGAGTATTGCGCAGACGATCGCACTTTAAACCCGCGCATTGCCGGATTAAGGGGTGTCATGGCGGCTGCATAAATGTCACAGCCTGCAGAAGGCGAGACAAACGTGATATACGAAACGGAATCTCATTTCCAACAGCCCCACCAGCAGTTATGCAGTTTTCCAGGTAGCCAAAACACCGTACAACTAGCGTCTCACCATCGATGGTGAGTTCAGTTAAAGGCGTGTTCTAGTCATGTAAAAGCGCTTTGCAGTTGAATGTTTTAAAATGCATGCCATACTTCAACGCTTCAATCGCCAACCGCTTGATTGCAAGTTGGACGGCCCGCGGATTGTCACCTAACAAGAGCATATCATCAGCGTAATCCAAATCACTCAAGCTGATGTTGGAGTTGCACTGAGTGACAGGGCTGAGGCAGTTTTGGCTGACTGGATCCCAGGCAACAGTCGGCTATGTGCAGTCAGACTACGAGGTTCATGTAATTTAAGTAAGCGTCGAGATGTTACGCGTGCAATGTTTGTCACCTCCTACGCTCCTAGAGATTGCAGGCCGTATGCAGTCAAGGACTTATTTTAACAACAAGTACATGATTTTCGTTCCTCAAAATAGTCTGAGATTGCCATTTTGTATAATCCCCCTACCTACAACAAGTCAATAACATACCATCACCAAAATCTAAACATCGTGCAAAGAAAAGGCAGCATCGGCAAAAATGCTTCCTTGCGGCTTTCAATACCCCACGTCACAAACAGTCATTACCCCGCAGACAACTCAGCACCAAACACACTGTAAGAAGGCAATCCGACTAGAAGATGACAGCAGACGTGTCACTCGTGTCGACTTCTTGGCATGTCCTATTTAGTCTCGAGCCAAGCTAAGGCGAGTCACGGGGACTGCAGCCTGGACGTCTAGACGGGAAACGGTTCCTAATTGGGGCTTCAGTGACTTCATTTCACGCTGCGAATACAACTTTTGTCCACCTGGAGTCCTGCAGCACCCTACATCTGACAAACAAAGGCGCTCCTCGGTAGGTGGTGACCAGGCATACGGGGTACGTGCCCAAGCCACCGCAATTTATTCAGTGCTATCTGTTGTTCTAAGTAACTAGTCTGGTTATCACTGCCTAGTACTCGCTTACGCACATCATGTTTGCGGACACGCTGTTGGCATCCGACAACAGCAATGCTTCGTAGACAACGATGATCAAAAACTGGAAGATGTTTCACATCCTCAGATCAGGAGCGGCAACGCTCGCTTTCATAAAGTAGGACGGCCTTCACTGTGACCTTGTAAATATGGCATTTCAGACGGAGAGAATCACCTTTCAGTCGCCATGGATGTCGAAGATGCATGAAGGCTGTTCGGGCTTTTGCATTGTGAGCAATGATTTAAATTGCCATGCGTTAATCACTGCAGATGCAGCTGCCAAGGTAGGTGAAGTGGTCAACCGCCTCGAGTGCTTTGCCATCCAGTGTCAAGGGTTCATCGAATGACTAGTGGTCCTGTAATAGCACCTTTCAATTTGAAGGTGCGAAGCGCATGCCAAATGACGGGACCATTTTTGAAAGGTTATTCACGGTTGACTGCGCCGCACCCACATCGTGAAAAGCAGTATAACATTAGCCCCTGCATCGTGAGACAACGCAAAGGAATGGTTCGTGGTAGAGACCATGATGAAGTTGAAAAAGGGGGGGGGAAATTGGAAAACGCTGACCAAGGCCACTTGTTGTAGGAATGTCATCCGACAAACTACCGTAGACCGAAACGCGGCCTGTCGTGTTCGAATATGGTGTATGCCAAATGTTCACATATTTCCTGGGAAAACCTTACGACCAAAGTATTTCGAACTGACTGCATCGGTCTACTGAATCGAACGCACCGTTGACGTCAATACAGCTATAGCTGACCTGCAGTACGTGTGGCGCTGCTTTTAGTTCCTGAACCAGAGTGAAAATGTCATCCCCACAGCCGTCTTTAAGGCGAAAGCTTGTCTGCTCTTCCTTAATCCGTGGTACGCGCTCCACAATGACGCGAAGAAAGAGAATTGAGGCCACTAATCTTGTCACAACATGCGTTAGACTAAAGCGCCTATGGTTAGCATAAGCTGTGCGACTGCCCTTCTTGCATATTGCCTCCATAATCGATTTAATCCAGTTATCCGAGGTGGTCTCTTCCTTCCAATTATGTTCGAACATGGAGGTCAGTGCTTTTCAGGGGACCTCACTACCATCGTTGAATGGTGCAGGTGGGAGGGAATCCGGGCCAGCAGCACGAAACCGATTGTGGGCTGCGGTCTCATTTCGAGCATCAGCCTCTTGGTTGTTCATTCCGTAGGTCACCGTGGTTC